ATGAGTGAAAACAAGCGTGTTGGAACCACTTGTTTTTTTCCGAATATTAGGGAGGAAAGCGGGAGGGGAGCGAGAGTGAGGAAAACGGACGGCGTAAAGAGAGTGAAGTTGTTATTCCACATGCTCTTCTTGACGATACGATTTTACACATAGCGTCGTGTATGCAGCAAATAGAAAGTAAAAGATAAAGGTTTCGTTGTGACGAACAAAAGCTGGTGCTTGGAGTACAAATGTATGTACTTTTTTATCTTTACAAGATTAGGTTGCTGAACCTTAGCAGACAAAAATAGAAAGCTTTAATGAAATAGGCAGCTAACCATGTAAACACGGCTTCGGCAAACAGTAAAAGACGCTGTTGACAATGTGATTCGCAAATCTGAGGAGTAAAGAGTGGACGCTGTTGTCACCTGACGTGGCTTGTTTGCGGCCAGGTATTCACAGCCTGGGAGTATAAATAACTAACGCATTCTGCTTGTCACTAGGTAAATTTCTGGCGGTGGCTTGGGCTTGTACTTTGGCAAGTTTCGTGTATTTAACAATGAGAAAGCAAACTCTCAATTACTTAGTATTTGTTGGTAATGCCATTTGTGTCAATTACCTATGTTTTAATTTGCTAAATACGATGCTGAGTCGAGTGTCGCTCTTGCACGTGACGATCTTATAATAATCTCCTCTCTCTTCCTCTCCTCCCTCTCTCGTTATCTATCTATCTACCTCTCATGCTCCCCCCCTCTCTGTATGTGTGTGTGTGTGTGAAAGGAAAAACACAATAAGAAATGAAAATAAGTCGTAAGGTGTGTGTGTGTGTGTGTGTGTGTGCATATACACATACATACATATATATGTGTATATATATATATATATATACATATATATACATACATATTATATATTATATATATGTATGTATGTATGTAATATATGTATATATATATATATATATATATATATATATATATATATGTGTGTGTGTGTGTGTGTGTGTGTGTGTGTGTGTGTGTGTGTGTGTGTGTTGTGTGTGTACATATATATATATATATATATATATATATATATATATATATATATTATATTATATATATATATATATATATATATTGTGTGTGTGTGTGTGTGTGTGTATGTAATATATATATATATATATATATATATATATATATATATATATATATATATTTTCATTATGAAATAATTACACAGCTAGCGTCACGCATTGAAAACTTGCTCCGGTCCTACTTAAAAAAAACAGTTTGATGGCTTACCGCAGCTAGTGCTACCATAACCAGAATATTATGTTTACCTTTTTTCTTTTTTTTTTTTTTAATCTGCACTCGAATGATAAAAAAAAAATCGCAATATTTCTCTGGCCTCCACGTAGTTGTTACATGTGCTTGATCACCGTTGGATAAATTACTAGGCAGTGCGATAACGTGTTTATGAATGAGACAGTGAATGGCAGCTGGTGAAGTGGCCGAATTATATGGAGGCTATAATCTCGTACTTAATAGCAGCTGATCTACTTGACACCTGGAGCATCACCGCCTATTCCTCGTGATTTCTTTTCACTTGTAACAGTCATAAGTTATCACACGTAAGTTGTTCCCTAAAGATATCTTATGCTCTGCTACAAGAATGGGATATGAAATAATGCCCAAATATGTCTCAAAGTGTATTTATCTTTGCTACGAGAATTATATCACACTGACGAAAGTTTTTTTTTTCCTCAAACCGTTAATCCCAAGACACTGATTTCCCTAAAAGAGGGAAATCGCTCGAAAATTGGAAACAGCAATTATGGGTGCCGGCCGTAAACTGGGTCTCCTGTGGCAATTAAAGCGAATCTGTTTTTCCTCACAAAAGCGCTGATGTAGTATGTGTATGTATATGTATGTATTTGCGTATGTGGCGTACATAGAAAAAGTGCACATACGTACATATGCGCTCTTGCTCGATGTTTAGCATACTGTATATACGGAGAAATATCACGAACGCCAGTAGGCTCGATGTAAATATATATATATATATATATATATATATATATATATATATATATATATATATATATATATATATATATATATATATATATATATATATATATATACATATATATATATATATATATGTGTTGTGTGTGTGTGTGTGTGTGTGTGCGTGCGTGTGTGTGTATACATATACATATATATACATGTATACATATATATATATATATATATATATATATATATATATATATATATGTATATATACATATATATTTATATGTATTTACATACATTTAACTGCAGGAGTAGTTTCTATGTACAAACCGTAAACGGAAAATAAATAATTTTCTCTCTCTCCCTCTGTATATATATATATATATATATATATATATATATATATATATATATATATATATATATATATATATTATATATGTATGTACATAAACTGTGTGTGTGTGTGTGTGTTATGCGTGTATGTGAATGTATGTGTGTGTGTATAAATATATGTATAT